TCTTTGATCACCCTTAATGAATTAAGAAAAAACAACCCCTACCATCAACCCTTAATGAAAAGAAATGATGACTCACTGGGCTGGAAGGAATCAGCTCCTCTTTTCCAAAGGCTGTACAGAAGACCATCCGTGACTATCAGGCTGCTGCTCTCAGATTACCAAAGCTACCAACAGTAGCTCAGTGCTGGGTCAAACAACGCTGCCAGGTCTCCTGGTTTAAATTAAAATACTTTGGATAGAAAACTTCCACTCTAGATGGAAACGATTAAGAATGAAACATCCCTACTGGTTGTTACAGCAGGAGAAGGGAGCACTTTGCTGGAGCACAGGAAGGCTCACCTGTATGACCACAGTTTGGTTTCTGCTAGCCCTGTGTACTGGAAAAGGAATTACATACAACACCAGTGTTGAAAATAAAAACAGATCCAAGCCTAAACTGGTTTCTAACACTAAAGGAACAGGGGGAGAAAGGAGGAGCGAAGTGTATCCCCTCCTGCACAGCAATACACAGAACTCCAGGTATTTAAGGAGAAGACTGAACACTGTGCCAGGTTCTAAAACAAACTAGCAGCACATTTTAACAAAGTAAAGCCTAAGTCATAAAAGCAGAAATGGAGGCAAACAGCCTTTGAAGCCTGTGTCTAAAAGCTTATGCCACCCATCTTAATTTACATTACAAAATAAACCCATAAATTAGAGACCGTAAAACAACATAAAAGCAAAATCTTGGAAAGACTTTCCATTTCCCAGAGGAAAAACATCCCTGAAGTGCCAAATGAGCACAAATCCTACAGTCTGAAGTTCAGAACATCAGTTAATGGCAGTAGCTGATTTCCCTTTTCATTGATGGAAAGCTCTCAAAGCATAACCATGTACTTCCCCTTCCATCTCTGAATCATGGTCATGAGCTCCTCCAAAGTTCACCAAGCTTTGTGCTTTCTCTTAGTTCGTGCCAGCTTTAAAAGAGTGACAAGATCAAAGTCAGTTTGACCAGACACACACACAAATCATGCCTCACTTTCCCCCCCTCCCAAACATTCAGCTCCCCAGAAACAGAATCACACCGAGGTGAAAACTCATCTGGTTTTATTTTCTAAAGAAAAATATTCCTCTTTGAACACAAAGCATCAACTAAAAACCTCCGAGGAACAGTTCCGCCCCCCCTGGAGCGCATTGAACTAAACTGTACAGTGTCAGAGCTCCCCAGACAAGCAGACACACATTGACACACAGTCTGTCTTTCACAGGAAATCAGGTTTAGGACTCAAGAGCTGACCTCCTCACCCTCTCTAGCTACCCAATCCATCCCCAAGTACTCTGTCCCTTTGTCCCACCACAGGTCACAGTGATGGCAATTTCTGGAATCAAAGTCTATTAAAGAAAAGTAGGATTGGCCAAATTGTCCCTTTCTAATCTAACACGTGTCTGTGAGAGAGGTTAAGACCATAGTTGTTTCCAGGAATGGTGCTTGGAAGAAAAAAATATAGCAGCATCCACAGGCAACGCAAGCCCTTCATTCCAGCTGCCCTGTTTAAGGAACCCAGTCAAGTTCAGCAGTGTTTTACAGGTGTTCCCAGCACCCACGAGGAGGGAGTGGGAATAAAACATTCACAGGCCAAATCACAGCCAAAAAGTCAGTGAATCTGGCCTACATATGCTAGCAATGAGAGATTTCCACATTGCCACAGTGACCAATGGCATGTTAAAGATTAATGTAAAAACATATGATAACCTTCAGAAATCAGCAACTTGTTCTGCCAATCCTCTCTATCCCATCAAAGGGATGCGTGCATTGTATTTGTTGCATCTGCCAAACTGCTCCCATTGCGGCACTGGAATCAGACTCTAGAATCCAAATTCTTCCTACTCCAAAGAGCAAAATCATCAACAGTCTCTGCAAGGTCTCAGAACGTGCCCAACAAGCTCATATGCAAAGTACCTGGATGTTTTCAAGGGCAGGTAAGTAATGGAAAAGGTCTGGAAATGGAGCATATTTATATCCCACACAATCATTAGTTGTTGGTATGAAGTAATGCTCAAATCTATCAGACCGTTTTGTCAGGATCTTTCCCATTCCATACACTCCAGTAGTTTTTACAGTAGGAAAGACATTAGAAAAATAAAATCTCACCCCTGACCAATCCTGTCTGAAGATCAGCATCATCAGGCACAGACTTTTACAGGGGGGCCACATAAACTTCAGTTTCCTCCAAACCAGCTTCATATAGAAAACAGCAGCAAGATAGACACAGTATCTAAGAGCTAGATTAAGGCCAACAATATAAGACAAACATGGGCTCAGATCTTCTGAAATGATGAAACCCTCCAAATGTTTCCATACACATGCATGCACACGTGCACATACACACACACACACACACATACACACGTGTACTCGTGTGTGCTGCTCAAGCAAAGGCTTCACAACCGTGAAAGCACCACTGGAGAGTGTTCTAGCACCAGAATGAAATATAGTTGGTTGTCTTCCCTCTTCAGCAATAAAATCCAAAGTCTTTATATTGCTTTGGACAAAGTCACCCTTCCGAGAACAGTTTCAGCGAGCAGATCCAGAAGTGCAGTGACAGGTTGAAGTGTTCCTGTTGTGGAATACAAGCAAGAAGAGGTGTGTTGCGAGGCTGCAGCTCCTTGGTTGCTGGAAAGGAGGAGAACATTTGCATTGCAATCCCGTAGAGACAGAGACCAACGTGGACTCCAGGCGAGTGCGATGGTGAGGCTCAGCGCAGACTGGGAGGTGAAGGTGGGAAGTTTGCATACACAAAGTCACAGTGCACTTCTGTTGGCATAATAAAGACAAGCAAACCCACAGCATTTTCTGGCAGGCTTGTCTCTGCATAGGAGGCCCCTGGTATGCTGGAAGTCAGGAGAGGGATCCATGAATGGGATGTTGCACACTGCACCAGGGCATCATGAAACTCAAACAGCAGAAGTCTAAATAGCTTCTAAGTTGGTTGCTAGCATCTTGCCTATACACATGCTCAAATGAGCCTGCAGAAGTCTATAAAGGGGACAAAAATCTCTAAACTGCAAGGTTATGGGTCCAGTTCAGCTACAACAGTTCATGCAGGTTACAAAAGAATTCATCATCAACCTGCAGCACATCTTCCTGCTGCAGGTCTCTATCCTGGATCTAGGCCTTTGTACAGGAGGTGGTGGCTGCGTGGCCCTTTACCAACACTCTAAAGAGGCCAAGAGAAAGGTGCAGGGTCAGAATTGACACCTCCACAGTGTCTCAGATCAGCACGTGTGGGCAGAGGTCTGTTCTCTGCCTGTAAGATGCAGAGCAGGAGATAAGCAGGCCTCACTAGGAAAAGGGAGGATGGGGAGCAGCAGCTGGAAGTGGCTGCTAAAAGAAAGCAGGAAGAAATGGAAGAGACACGGAGATTTAATTTGTCAGTGCTTGACCTACCAGCAGTAAAGCCCCATTTAATGTGTCATACAGTGTGCTGAGCAGAGTCTGGCTATCACTCCAATGATGTACTGTGTTAGGAACTCAAAACATGCAAGAGAAACAATGAAGTGAAAGAAAGGGTGATCATCACTCTGAGGTGTGAGTTTCGGGTTCAAACAGAGAATTACCAGCAGATACACTCTGCTTCTGTGCACATGCAAGAGTACAACAGAGGGAACAGCAGCAGTACTGAAAGGGAGGAAAACACACAGTAAGTGTAACACTGTAATTCAGGATGCAAACATAGGACAGTGAGGGAGAGGAAACAGGAGTTTGAGGTAAACAAGCCCAAAGGAAAGGACAATAAAACCCCATCTTAATAGAGTCAGCCCTGCTTCAGGAAACATACAGCTAATGGCAGTTGGCTTTCCCTCTTCACCACGTGTCCTTGACACATTGGTGGATCTGCTCTCTGCACTTGGGATTTAAGAATCAAAACACCAAGACTTTCTTTGTTCCTAAGTTGTACTATATGATTGAGTACTCTGCACTATACTCTAAATGGCCCCTGAATCCTAAGCAATGCTGAAGTCTCACCCAAAAGCAGAAGTGCCCAAATGCCAAATTTGGGCTGGATTGTCCAGGAGCAGGTTTGGCATTCCCAGCTGAGAGCACCTTGGCATTTAACTAAGTAAGCAATATCTTCAATGGTTACTTAGCAAATCCCAATATCAGATTGAAGGTTTCCAGATAAATGTCTACAATCAGACAGCTCCTCATGTATCTTCTAATAGAATAGACTTGTGCGGTGTACAGCAACAACAAGCTGCTCCAGTGACAGCACCAGCAGAGCTGTGAGCTGAAGCCCTCTGACCACGGTGCAAATCACAGAGGGATCCTTCCTCACTACAGAATTCACTGTAACAGAATTAATGCCTCCTGGGTAAAGCAAAGCACAGGCTTCCTCCTCCTAATGCAAATCACAAATGGATGCCTGCCCGGGGTTTGTGCACTCCTGCAGCGACGGTGCTGGCTGGAGGGATGCACAGTCTGTGAGAACCAGCACGACCAGAATGGCAACCGGTGAAAGCGGCCTCAGGACACAGCCCAGGTGGAAGCACATGAACAGAGAAGATGCTAGAATATGCCACAGCAGCCAAGGTCACCCATGTGCGTAGGCAAGCTTAAGGCAACTAAAGAAAATTCACTGATAATTTAGAGGAGAGCGCCAAGAGGAAGAGAGAAGAGGAACCATTGGGCGTAGAAGCTGGGAATGCTGCTACAGTAGCCAAAGCCCAGCACCAGCTACTAAGCAAGCCCTCTTCTCCAGGTCGTTTGTTCCAATTCTCCTCATTTTACCAGCACCATCAGCATGAGGTTCGTGTGTCAGAAAGAAGAGCTGGGGATAGGTTCCTATAAACACAGCTTACACATTTTCAGGCTTGTCTCTCAGGTGAGTTCCTTTGAAAGAAAGCACAAGGGCCATTTGACTGGCTGCTCACTTTGAACTGGAGCTCTCTGGGAATCCTGCCACCTCCAGGGACAATCCTGGGATATGTTCTACCTGCAAGTGATGGCAGCAGCAACTGGGTTCCTTGTCATGACAGTCGAGTAGACAGTAGTTCATTAAAAACCAGCATGCACCAGTGGCATGGCCATTAGACGTGAAGCCATGGTTGAATCCTTCTTGTCTCCTCCGAAGCAGGTGGAACCAGAAAGAAGGGGAAGGTTGGCACAAATCAACGCAGGCTCCGGTAGACGTAGGCTGACGTGAAGATAGCATTGAGAGTCAGACTCAGGGCTAGCAGGCCTCGGAGAGCAGAGTTACCAAAATGACCTTAGTAGAAGAGGACAACACAAAGAAAAGGAATAGCAGAAAGAGATATTAAAGAACTGATGAGACAAATAACAGCAAACATTGCTTGTGCTCTTTTTCTCTCTTTGCCCAGCATTTTCACCTTAAACAGAAACTGCTGAAGCACTTCTGTCAGGACAGATTCCACTGCCCTCTTTGGTTCCATTTTCATCTCATTGCTCTTCTCAACACCCACATCCCCACCCCTCTCCTTCTGTCTCAGTTCAGTACTCTGCCAGTATTCTTCAGACAGTCCAAAGAGCAGGAATAGCCTTATTAAGGCCTTAGAATAGCAGTCAGAACATCCATTTTGCTGCTACTTGTTTATTTGATCTGAAGATCAGATCACTACTGCAGCATAGGAAATAGCTCAGTTACCCCTCCCAGAAATGTATATGAAGCACTCAAATGACTTGCACCTACCTCTCCAGCCTGCCAAATCTTCCCCTTTGGTCGTTGTGTCGACAACACACGTAGATGAGTGTGATGAATGATCCTCCTTTTTGATGGAATTATCACTGCAAATGCTCCCTCCTTCCATAGCAGATCTCACATCTGCAAGACAAAAAAGGTGAAAATTCAGAAGGCACCACTGGAAGCCAAAAAAGCAGAAGTTACCAGAATAAAGCTAGAACATCAGTAATGAATGGCTGCTTGGTAAGAGTCATGAAAGGATTGAGGACAAGGGCTGGAAACAAAAGGCTAATTTCACTGCTGTGCAGCAGAAGCTGCCTGCATGCTTGCCTCATACACTGCCCATATCAGTATCACCACATCTATGGTTAAAGGAGTTATCCAAACAAGGGTGAAAACAGTGGCAGTAGTACCCCCGGGGCACCACTAAGTGAGCAAAGGACATCTGAGGCTCTCCAGGCCAGTGGATTTTTAAGGGAGCTTTGGTAGCCCAGCAGTCATCACCATCTAGGTTTTTCCTGAAGGTTTCCCACCTATTGTGTCACCTAGATGATGCGTGGCTCTGCTTGCAAGCCAGCTCCTTCCTACAGATGCATTTCCGAGTCAGCAGGAAGCTGCCAGCATACCATGAATTCCCCGCTCGTTGAGGTTCTTCTTTGGAAAGGAGGCCAGCTCGGTGGCAAAGATGTTGTTGTCTGAGTGGGTGTGCTCCTCTGAGCTAGATGGAGTGAGCTGAGCTTCATTCTGAGATGGGAAGAGCAGCAGCTTCTGGCCTTTCAGGTTGAGGCGGGCAGGGCTGATGAGCGGGCGGCGGTACCGCAGGGAACCCGAGCTGGAGGTCACAGAGCCAGCCACTGATGGTGCTGGGGAAGGGATGCGGGAGGGAGCACAGCTGCCTGACAGCAGGGAGAAGTGCTCTGGAACGGAAACAGCCCGAAGAGAAGATGATGAGATGGTAATGCCACACAACAGGCACTGTTTCCTTTAACAATTCTACAAGATGCCCCAAACCTCGCAGTGTTCAAAGCACATTGGATGGGGCTTGGAGCAGCCTGCTCTAGTGGAAGGTGTCCCTGCCCGTGGCAGGGGGTTGGAACTGGATGAGCTTTAAGGTCCCTTCCAACACAAACCAGTCTGGGATTCTATGATTCTATAAGAAAAGGGAATGGGAGTTGCAAATGTCCAACATATCTTGCACTAAAATTCTTTATTCATTTGAATTCCCACACAGCAAAACATGGAGAAATTCCACATGCACTTTGGTAACTCAAGAATGACTTAGACTAGAGAAGGGTTTACCAGGACCTGAGTGACCTTTCTCTCTGTTCAGTTGTGTCCGCTCAGTAGAGCCTGTTTTGCAGGTAAATGAACTGTTCTGGCATGTCCTTTAAAGGCTGTTAGGAAAGAGCATCAGGATGTGAGAAGGTTTGCATTAGCTCAGGCTGTGCCTGTTTTTCCAGCAGCAAATGCTTAGGCAGCACAAACAGCCAAAGGATCCACCTGGGGTCAGGAGGGCAACAGACAGGTCACTGGAGGACACGGGAGCAAAAGGGCAGAGCAGACAGGGCAGCAGCTCCTCTGGCTGGGAAAGTGCAACAGAAGAGCTGCCCTAGGAACAGTTTAGTCTCCTGCCAAAGCAGTCTCAACTCAGCCGTAGAGCAGGGAAGGGATCCTGCCTTTGTCTCACTGGGTTCAGCGTGAGCTCTCCCAGGACTTCCAACACATCCAGCACCTTATTTTAATGCAATCCCACTCTTAGCTGGAGCCCCCTCTGCAGCATTTCTAACAGCAAACCTGACATTTGCACTGGGATGTGAGCAGGGAGGAAAGAATTAAACTTGGATCATGTATTTCAACCCACTCCCTGCAAGTCCTGCAAAGAGTTGCTCTGGAAGGCGTCGTGCATTACCTGATGTAGGAGATTCCTTGGACTGAGATGACTGTGAGGCTGGGCGACTTCCACTGAACAAGTAGCCAGAATCTAAAGTGCAAAATGAAACAGTTTGAACCCAGCTGGCTCAGTTTGAACCCCCAAAATGTAACTGCATCAGCTTGTCTCAGAAAGGGATGGGTGGTGAATGCAGGCAGGAAAAACGTCCCTGTTTTCCTGGCTAAGCTACATGCCAGCACCAGGATAATCCACTTTTCCCAGCTGCCACAGAACTGGCTGATAATAATTTACCTAATGTTGCACGGGAGTAGATGACAAATACACACACAATTTAGTTGCTGTGAAAGCAGCAACAGAAGGACGGGGCAGCTTCCAAAGGTGGTACCTTCTTCACCTGCTCCTAGCCAAGCTGCTAGATGACTCCTGAACACCACATCAGATTCACATTATCTACCCTGTGACTGTATCACAGCTGGGGTGCGTCTGCTTCGAAAGGAAGAAGGTGAAGATATGGTTGTATCCTTTTATACTCAGCCCCAGCAGCTCTCTCCAGTCTGTCTGGTTTTGCAGTGAGCAAAAGCAAGCACAGACCTCACAAGGGTGGCTCTGCAGGCAGGGGGGATCCCAGCCGTCTGGTGCATTCACACCTGCCCTTCCCATGCCAGTTTGGGAACTAGGAGGATGCAGGCTGTGCCCAAAGCTGCTGTGCTGCCTGGCTGGTCTTTCTCTTGCTCTTTCAGAGGAGCTGGCAAAACTGTCAGCAGCAGGAGCTAGAGAAATGTTGGATGAAGTAAAAAGTCCCTGCAAGACTGCTGTCTGCTGCAGTGCTATCCTAGAAACCTCCCCATTTTGGCCTCTGACCTTTTGGTAAGCAGTTACCTGCTTTATAACTCTCCTTGAGTTGCAGAGTTTGATTCCATGCACCAGTTAGAGACACAGGAAAGCTTAGCTTTCCTTGGATGGAGAATAGCACTTGAATGCTATTTTCCATCTGTTAGCTTCTAACACAGCAAAACTGAGGGCTTACTGAGATACTGAGTCTTTCCTTAGGCCTAGAAATCTTTCCTAGATCAGAGAGCCCTTAAAAACAGGAGGAAACAAGGTCTCTACAGCAGTGTCCATAGTTGTGCTAATGCATGTCAAACACAGACTTTATGAAGAGCCTGCCTTTAGCTCTGCTCCCTTCAGCCGTAGCAAGAAAAGCAAGCTACACAAAGCAGGCAGGGGAGGAGCAATCGCTCTTGCCGGATCAGTTATCCTCATGTTCCAAATCACCTCCTAACACTGCTCTTTTCCATTCCCACTTCTAACTGCTCCTTCTGCCTCTCCCCACACACTATAGCTTGTGCTGTACCACCACAAATGCCCAGAGAAGCCTCTGGATTTCAGTAAGCACACAACAGGCAAACGCTCGCCGAGACTTTGTTTCACCAGGGTGGCAAGAGTAGGCTGCATAATTTCTTAATGCCAAAACCCAGATTACAGCAGCAATCCCTGAACAGGGCTGTAACATCATGTCCCTGCTCATGGCAGAGGGGTTGGACTAGACCTTTGTAGGTCCCTTCCAACCCAAACTATTCTATGACTCTATATGGATACCTCCCAGCCTGTTTCCTTCTGAAGCATTGCACCACTGGCACACACTTACCTGCTCTGGCCAAGGAGGGGATGGTTCCCAGTGAGAGTGCCCTGTTGAGACGCCCAGGAAGAGAGGAAGGAGAAGATCTGCGTGGGGACCTGAAGAGCTGCTGGTTTGTCAGCTGGAGAATACTGGGTGGTGTTGGGACAAAGAGAGATGTAGCAGGGGAAGTGAAGCCAGTCCCAGTGCCGCTGGGGAAGAGAGTAATGGAATCCCCAGAGAGGTACCTGCAAATGACACGCATGACAGACATTCAGCAACAAGAACCTTCCAGTAACCCCTCTCTCAGTTGTACTTTTTGTGTTAACAGGTCTGGACTCATTTTGCAGTGCAGGAGTGCAAGATGCAGAATGCTCAGGAGTTTATGGGAATGTTCCTACACTTCTGAAGCCAGGGAAGGAAGAACTGCTCAGCCTTACTGAAGTTACTGTGCACCAGCCTGCCCCACAAGAGAGGCTGTGAAAAATGGTGGAAGAGTTTAAGAACTCAGGTGCAAACAGACATAGGACCTTGGATCTCTCCCTGCATGAGGAAATTACCCAGAGCCCACCAGAATGCTTTACAAAGTCCAGATCCACACAGGACTAACGATGGAGTACACCTTTTGCTGTGTGCACATGCAAACAACATGCTTAGAAATGTCATGACTGGGAAGCAAGTGGTTATCTACAAGCCTTTTTGTCTTTAGAAACCAGAATCAACATCTTACCTCTGATGCCAATCTAGAGAAAAGTATGTTTATGGGTACCTAGATAAAGCTGTAGACACAAGAGCTCTGTTTTAAAACTAACATTCAAGCCTCTTCCAATACATTTGCTTTTATTATACTACTGTGAGGTCATGAAGACTCACTGCCCTCATTTTAGATAGGAAAGACAAGCAAAAGGAAGCTAAGTGACTTGTTGAGAGTCACATAAAACTCCTAGGGTAGAAGACAGACACAAACCTGGGTTTTTCAACCCTAAATTGATACCTAAAGCATCACATTTTCCTTTCTCATATCATAATTAGCCACAGGTATGTACTAGCATAGCCATTCAGAGGGAACTGTGCTCCTGTATCATATGCTACAGGAATTGTCTTGCTTTTAGTGAGTAAAAACCAATCTCTATTACAGTAACTGGAGAAAATGTCAATTGGCAATAATAATGGCCATTGTATTTCTAGGTCTGTGAGTTGTTTTCAATGGGCTCTTTCCAAGTGCCAGAGTGGAGCTGTAGAACAGCACATCCAACTGGAGAACACACTACCTGAGAGAACAGACAGAACGTGCTCAGGGTACCTGTACCAGCGAGCTTGATTTTGAAGTGCTACAGATACAAACTGGTTTCTGTTCCACTGTGTGAAAGGACTTTGTATTTGAAAGTCTTCACAATATTTCACATTCAGTTACTATATGTAAATAAACTCTGCAATTGGTGTCTGATACCCCATTTCCTCACCGACCTTTGCAATGGTTTAAGATTTAAAGATCAACCTAAGATGAACAATCTGTCAAACACTCCTATTTTTACCTTCTTTATATTCCACCTTGCAATCATGTACTGATCTTAGTCTGTATGTAAGGTTTAGCTGACTACATTGCATCAGAAATGAGGGGTCAGCTTTGCAGTCTCACTTGTGTCCATATACCATCAAAATGAGCATTCAAAGAGGGTTGAAAACATAGGAATTTTGTATTATTTTGCATAAAGTACAGGAAGGAAAGTCTAGAATATGAACAAGATCTCTCAGGGATCTCCTGTAAGCTTTTGTTTAGTTAGAAATAGGTAAGACACTTGCCAAATAAGTCATGATGAAGTACTAACCGAGTATGAAGCATATATAATTTACAATAGATCAGGCTTTGCAGCATACAATCAAGCTGCAGCATTTGGAGGGTTAATCTCACTTCTGATGAAAACAGAGACAGATGAGAGCAGCAATGTGGCTTCTCTTCTGTCAGAGGAAAGCCAGCAGTAAATGAGAGCGTGAAGGAATATATATATATCTCAACCTTGAGCTGTGAGGTGATTTATGCACATGCCATTCCCTCTGGGAGATTAAAGAGGTGATGCAGTAAGATTATGCAGTGCTAGCACGTCCAGAAGCAGCAGTCTAGAGTTAAAATTACATTTAAAGTATCTTATGGAACTACTTATCTGCTAGTACGAGGCAGACATCAACAATCCCGACCAGCTTAATCAGGCTGAGCAACATCTGAGCCAACCAGCTTCCTGGTGCTTGCAAACAGGACATGCCTTTAACAGCAGCAAGGAACTCCTCAGTCTTGCAGCAGAAACTGCCCAACCTCTTCAGGTTCCAGAGGACCTGGGAAGGGTGTCATGCTTCGCAAACGTGCAGAGGTCTTTAGTGCACAGACATAGACACATTTGCCCCACCACACATACAGATGTAAACAGCAGAGGTACATGTGCATCTCAGCTTTGTAAGAGGAAATGAATGGGAAAGGAAATGAGAAGTGCAGCTCAGGACTATGATGTGCATGGTATCAGAAAGAGTGATACCTACCACTCACTGGGGCATGCCAGCGAAGGGCAAAGCAGAGCATGGCCTGGGGACAACACAGCTCTTTTTCCCTAGCTTTGCACTCTTTGTGTCCTTGGGCTAAGGGACAAACCTCACACAGCTCCTGGCTGCAGTGGAAAATACCTTCTCTGGCTCATTGACAGTTTTCACTTACTGGCCTGGAAGACATTACAGTCATTTAGCACTCACAACCACTATCTTCTTCCTGGGATTTTAACTGTTTAGGATCAGAGTTCCATGGGCTCTGCTGCTCACCAGCCCCACTTCACAACGTGCAGCCAGATCCTCTGGGCAGCTGATGGCACCATCCAGAAAAGGCCTACTTCTGGTTAGAAAGAATAGCTGAAGAGTTTTAAGCATAACATATTAATGACTTAGGGATTGAGTGCTGACCAGAGAATGGCTTATATATTGATCTGCTCTGAACAGAGTAAATTCCTGCAACACGTGAAAAGTCCTGTGTACTCTACTCTTTCGTGTCCACTGCTGTCATGTCAAGAGGGGTGGATGCTGCTAAGAAGCAGGGTGCTCTCATGGGAATGCACTTCATGCCCAAGAATGGTGAGCTCAACCAAAACTTCTTTGAGAAGCAGATGAAAAAGGTGAAGAGATCAAGAGGACCATAAAGCAGGATGCAGCCACATCACACTGGAATGGAGCAGTGCAGCTGTGTCTTTGCTCTCACACTACTGCCTTGCTCCAAGCCGTTTGTGCACGTGATGATAATAATGGGTCTGGTAACAGAGGGGGGAAAAAGTCACAAAAAAAGGAAGGGGTAAAAAAAAAAAAGGCTCTGGAGTCACAGTTTGTGGAAATAGGGCCCGGAAGCCGTTTATTTCAGAACTTGGTATTGTGAACATCAAAACTGGGGTATCTCAGTCAGTGGTTACAATGGTCACAGCGTTACTACAGTTGGGCACAACTCTGCTACACAGATACTTCAAAAATAAAGTTAAAGAAGAGTATTACATGGTATGGGACCGTACACTGTCCTGAAGAAAAGCCTCCTCCCAGCAGAGCCTCCCCTCCTCTTGTCCCAATACCTCCCTCTTATCCACAGACACCACCACACGTGTGTGCCTTCTGAATTCACATTTTAACCAGAGATGCTGCATCATCTATGGGATAGAGACATGGGAGAGAGCCTTTTGAATTCACATTGCAATAAGAGATGCTGCATTACCGCTGGGCTACAGATATGGGAGAGCACGGTTCAGGTCAGACTACAGGGCTGTAGCTGGACCCACTACGGGATAATTCAGCACATGAAGTAAGAAGGTAAGACAGTCACAGCCAGGCAGCTTGCTGTATGTGCTGAGGTTCATCTGCCTGGAGGCAGCTAGGGAGCTATGGGTCAGTCATGGGTTATAATATTTGCTCTGGACTTAAGGTCCCATCCTAATTTAGCTATGAGTAACCCATGTATGACTGCACCACTTTCTCCAAGCAGCACGGGTGCTGCTGCCCTGCCTGCGGAAGCAGCTCACTTAGGGCTGGCAGAGATAAGCACATTTGTGTGAGCTGACCTGCAGTCACTTCTCTGGTGTGCTGCATCACATCTGCCAGGGCCATAAGCTGTGCCTCCATATGCCGACATAATCAGGGGTGAAGAGCAATATAGTGAATAAAAAACAGGGAGAGGGATGGATCATGCTAAAAAAGGGGCACAGGTCTCAGACACATTAAAGTGACTTAGCTATAAACTTTAGCTGCCAAGACTAAGAGTTCTTTTCTCCTACACACTGTCCAGCTTTGGATGCAAAAGGAGGGGTGAATTAAAGATGAAAATGCTCCAGATGCCAGGTCCTGCACTAATACCTTCTAGAGTAGACAGAGATGGTTGTCATCAGCAGCCTTTGCTGCTAGCTGGTGGCACACAGATAGAGGGGGGTGTTTGTGTGTATGCACATCCCGTGTCTACAATGCTTCAGACTTGCTGGCATGACAAAAGCGTTCGGAAGATCTCTTCCCTGCCTGGGCACTGGATAGCTTTGGTCCCAAATGAGGCTTTACAGGGGATGACTTCAGGACTGAGTACTGCCCCTTTCATATGAGAGCATCTGCTATGGTTCGGAGGCCCCAAGGTACTCGCAGGTGACAAAACACCAGGAATGAACCAGTAGAGTATATGTGACAGCACACAAGTTCAAAAGCATCTCTTTAAAAACCAAAGCAAAGCCAAACACCACAGCTCCCTGCTTTCAGGAGTGGAGTCAATCTCAAGCAATCATTTGGCTATTAATTATATTAATTTTCATAAGAGTATAAATAATTTATCCACAATACATGAATACATACTTTCTATAGTATCTAAGCATGATTATTAGCTTCACATCATCTCAGCGTACTGGAAAAATAAGTCATAAAGGCAAAATAAAACACCACTACACCAGTTTTATAGTCCCATCTTGCCCTCAGCTTTTGACACACCCAAGCTCAGCTCACCAGGGCATGCAAAGCACAGACGCAGGCAAGGAGGAGTTAATACAAAGGAAAGACTGGGATATAAATATCGAGTATTTAGAGTTTAGAGTTGTAAAGGGCCACAAAGGCGTCAGTTTGCATGCAGTGATGTCAGTGAGGGCTTCAGGAAGACCAGAAGCAGCAGCAGCAGAGATGCTTGCTTGGTTGCTCTGGGTTCTCCCTCAACCCCTCTGTAGTCTGCAGAGCTGCTCAGAAACTGAAGAGTGCAGCCCAAGTGTCCTGTTCACTGCCACACTCACTGGTGGCACTTGAAGGACAAAAGCACCAGCCCGGCAGACATACAGGCACTGCTGTCCCGAGCTGCAGCTCCATCAGCCCCACTGAAGCAGAGCCACACAGTGTTGTCAAAGACCATGTCCAGGGAAAGGCACTTAATGAACTCCCATCGGCCCTTTTATATATCCAGCTCTGCTGGGCAGGGTACAAGATGCTTCCGAGTTGGCAGATCAGCCACAGCCACTCTGGGCTGGAGCACATCTGATCTGGTGACACACAAACCCTCCCCACCTCAGCTCCATTCTGCAGTACCAACCTCTGCTCCAAACACCCAGCCTGTGGCCAGTGCGAAAAAGTAGCACCTGAAATTAGAGGCTTTTGGGCTAAAACCCTCTAATCATGTTAAGATGTTTGCATGTTCTGGCCTGCATGGCTGGGAGGATCCTCAGGCAACAAAGCCATATCTGGTGACCAAAGGTTATACATTCCTTTATGGCCTGAAATAAGAGTCCAACTAAGTGGAAACAAGAAGCTCAAAGCACTGAGCTCACAGCATATCGGTTCTGGATGAGTTTTGTATCAGCCATGTTAGAAAGTTACAGGCTCTTTTTAGCTACTACCCCCTCAGCAGCAGGAAATGTGTACTCATGTGTCATACAAAATAGCACCTCAGCTGCAGGAGGCTGGGAGCACTGTGCTCAGGTGCTGGACTGGCACTGAAATACCTGAGCTGGAAGCATACATTTTCTTCTGCTGGACTCACTGGGGGAAGCAACCAGGCAGGGTTAGATGACAGAGCTCACCACGGAGTTATTTGCTACCTGAACCTCAAGTAAAAAATGCAGTTAGTAGAGCACCTTCCGTATAGACCCTACAGACTGGCATAGGGTTTAGAACAGTCTATTTGGCATTGCAATAGTGCACTGCAGGAACAGGACTTGGGTGATCTTTAAGGCCCCTTCCAACCCAAATCATTCCAAGATTCGAGGGTGCTTTAACCTTTTTTCCCCCCAGAAACAGTTAACAGTGCAATACTGCCAACTTGTAACTGACCTTCAGGGCTAACTGTCTAAGGAGATGCAATGGGTACAGATGGAATGCTAGCAGGTTATAGAAAGAAAACGCCTTTCTGTTCCTCCCAAAGATCAATCATTCTCTTCCATCAGCAAAAGCATGTGAGACAAAGCATGTGAGACCAGCAGAAAGAGAGGAGACTGTCAGAGGAGACTGTCAGCATTAGAGCCTCTAAAAGACCATAAATCCAATCACTGCAAGTTTGCTTTTGCAGCTCTGAGGTTTTTAGTTGCTTTCAGAAGCAGCAGCACAGACATGAGGCACCAAGAAGTGGGAAAATAAGCTGACACCTGAGCAAAGACAAAAGCTTCTTTGGCATTAGAATTGAATCACATTTCAATGCACTTTGTTATTTTGTTAGCAGTCTTTCCAATTATGAGTCCAAAAGTTGTGGACAAAGCACCACAGAGACCAGGGCATCAGTTGTACAGGTTGGCCACGAAACAAGGTCCTTTTCTGATGTTCTGACATATAAAATTAGGTTAATGTGTACAAATACATCATTTGTATTAATCCGCATGAAGACTTTTGTTTGAAGACAAATGCATTTCTTGCTTGCATGCCACAAGTAACAGATCTCCCAGAGGAAAAGATTTTAAAGTGGGCAGAGATTAGCACTTGCTGTGTAAACAGAGCTAAACCATTTCTTAACAGTATCAGTCAGGTTTCACAGTGTAAATCCCACAGTTCTATCAGCTGCCTGTTCCCGCTGCCTAGTGTCCATCCTCCCCATCCCAGTACTGCACAGGAAAAAAAAGAGAAGAGATGAGGCACAGGAAAACAAGGTAGCACTTAACAGCAAAAGAGGGTAAAAGGCACCAAACCCCAGAGAGCTCAAAGATGAGGCAGGTTGAAATTGAAAGGAAAATAACCCAAAACGTGCTGCTAAAATGAAGGCAGGAAAATAGCTGCTCAGAAGAGACAGGAGGCCACATGAAACAGGATAAAGTGAAACTTAATACAGAAAGCCTTGACTTTCAGCTCCTGAAAGCAAAACGTGCAGAGGCTGAGGAGCATCTTTAGAGGAAGAGCGTTTCCTTTGCTACTGGGTGAGAAAATTTGGACAGATTCATTTTATTCTCCTCAAAAAGAGGGTATTGCTGTGAAAAATCAGGCATGACATTACCATGACCATCCATACACTGTAATAGTTTGTCAGCTGCTCATCCCCCTCCTCCTTCTAGCAGTCTCAATATATCCTTCTAAACATGAGTCCTTCCATCACTTGGACATACCTGACAGCAGCAAGAGGGACCGCTCACCTCTGCCATACCAGGTATGTTCATGTGCTAGAAGCTAGCAGGAACTTCCAGTCCAGCCTGCAGTGCCCAAGGCAATCCCAGCTAAATAGAAACATCAGTCTTTTCCTATGTTTATGAGAACAACTTGAAAGCACTGAAGAAAGAAGGGAGAAAGGGGAAAAAAAAAGGGCTAGATGCCTTATTTCACTTAATGGACAAGGTTTCCTGGCTCTTCTGTGCAGCTTGTTTAGAGAGCAGCAGAACTGGCACTGGATTTAGTTCCAGTGCCCATTACATTGGGTGGCTTTGTCCACTAATTGGGCTACAGAACAATGGTGTTGGAAGGGCTGCTGCAAAGAGTTCTCCAGGGTGAACACATTAGAGGCATCACTGCACTGAAAGGAACGCTGAGTAGACAGCGATAGCACATCCATACACAAGATTGTATGCACCTTCCTGTCCTTTCCCCAGCTTACTGCTGTCTTAGCATTGCTCCCTGCTCCAATAGGCTGACAGGCATAGCAAAAAGACTGGATTTTTAAGGAATGCATCCTATTAAGTCTCCTAATGGGGTGCAGGAAAGAGGCACCAGAGTGACTGTGAAGGTCTAACCTGGCATTGAGGACCCTGCATGCTTCTGCTGGTTTTTCCTGTTTTAGTAAAGTCATATGGCTTCTTAAAGTATTTACTTTGAAGCACTTCTCTAAATTCAAGTATCCTAGTAGAAAATGGGACATAATGGTTCTAATTTAGCATTTTGGAAGTCTAAGACTGGAACAAGAAACAATGTGTGACTGTGAGCTGGAAGACAAGCCTTTTGGGTCAGGATTCATACACAGAAGATTGGAACCAGACTTTGCAGATGCTGGATTCCTGTTGTGGATAAGTAAGTAAACAACACACAGAGCAGCACCATTGACAAGCACCAGAATGGAGAAAGGTATTCTCTTTGCTTGGAGGTGGGTATTGCAGTTATCTGAAGGCACTGGAAAGAAGTTCCAAAGGAGAGCACAGGTGGGAAGGAGGATTGTGTGCCCCCTTCCCATGCCAGTTGTTAAGTTAGAGGCACATGGACCCTCACCTGGGAGCTGAACCTTCCCATGACACCCTCAACTTGGCTGATTGTTAAGGAGACACTACAGAGCTTTGGGGCAGTGCTACCTTTCTGCTTTCACAATGATACCGGTTTGAAGAACATGAACAATGAAGAGCTGTAAAATCTCTTCTGTTTCCTTTAAAAAAGGTTCTGGAATTTTACCAGCATCTGCAGCATCCAGTAGTGTCTGAACTGTTCAGCAGGAGATGCTTTTTCAGAGTGAGAATTCCTACTTTAGAGTTTATACATAGAAAGATCAAGCCACCTGATTAACTTCTGTCAGACTGTTAGCATGGCAAGTTCCACTGTGCTGTTCTGACCAGAAGAAAATAGCACATCTCCTGTAACAATGCTGTTTCCTCTTGAAAGACCTAAACCTGCATGAGAAACTCATGAGTGCCTTGCAGAAACCACTGCAGGGTAATCAGACTGCTTAACCTAAGAGACCCCAAGAAGTTAATCCTACAAAAACCCAAGCAGCTGAAAGCTCCTTCCTCCCCACATGGTAACAACAACTAATCCCAGCTTTCAGTGGAGCAGGCACTCAACTCCAAGTGCCAATTTCCAGACCCCTTTGCTCAGCAGCATTAGCACCAATGCCAGTCTTCAAGTAAAAACCCCTCCAAGTAACAAGAAAACTCCATCTCTATTGCCATGTAGCCCTGCAGCAGAGGCTCCCACCCCTTCCCATATAGCACATCCTCCTGATCTGTGTTCTCAACTAAGCAGTGATGTACAATGAAAGCTGACCGCATACCATGAGGTTGTTAGTCCCATATTTCTTCTCCTTCTAAGGCTACAGGAGTGGAGGAACATTCTCATTTTTATCCAGTTGTGCTTTTACACAGATGCTCCTCAGGGGGTGGGTTAAAATCCCAAAGAAAACCAGCACTGAAAGCAACAGCCACTGAATTTGAAATGCAAATCAACAGCCACTGATTTGAAATTGTAGCCTAAACCACCTGAACGCCCTCAGATATTGAATCAAGACACCCTGAGCTACAGAACCTTTTAAAGCACCCTTTTACATAAGTCATTGAAATTCCAGTTAAAAGCACTTAAGGATGCCTCTCCACTTAAAACAGGAGTCACAGGAGAATGGCAGAGAGAAAGCATGCAGTTAAGTGATGCTACACAGTAGAAGGCAAGAACCACCAGTTTATGGACTCCCTCCCCTCGCATGCCTGCACACCATGCAGTGTTGCTACAGCACACATTACAAGGACTTGGAATCCAGAGGCAAGTTCCCATCAGTTCAATATTAAAATGACCAGCACCATTAGAAAGCCGAAGGTGGCCTGGGCCCCATGGTGGATCAAGGCAGAGGATTCCTCTGTGACTGGCTAAGGATGGACAGGCAGTGAGAAGAACCAGAAGGAGAGGAGAAGCCAGAATCTCTTTGGCTGGAGGAGCAGAATGGGAAGGAGGCTGCATTTATGGAGCAGTTTGTGAAGCAGCTGTTGGAAGAACTGGCTTTGGGGAAGTTGGATATTTGCACTGCTGACGTAGGATTCAGGAAGAAGGGAGAATGGAGGCAGCAGGAGTAGCTTCCATGGCTAGCACCAGCAGTGGAAGTGCTCCAAGCAGCCAGCACAGTGGGAAGCAAGGATGGGAAACAAAATCATTATCTAAAAAGGAAGAAAAGATCTTCACTGCTTATCTAAGTAAAAAAAAAAAAAACAAACAACAGCAAAAAGAAGAAACAGAGGAAGGGGAAATCAAAAGAGGAGAGAGAAGCACCAGTCGCAAAGAGTTCACAAGGCTTTTTTCCTCCTTCCCCCAGCGTCACTGCTCTGGCTCTGACCTTCGGGGCCGGTATCTCCGATGGCCCGTTGACTTCCGCGTGGCCACTGCTGCAGTGAAGCCCACCAAGCAGCACAAGGATGTGGTGCCAAATTTGGCTGTGTCCAGCCAGCTGGGTGTTTCTGTCTTCAGGTATCTCTCAGCTAAATGCAGACTCATCACTACGAACCACAAGACTGAAGCAAATGCATCAATTCTCCGGAGCCTGCAATGCCAGAAAGAAACCAAACAAGACACAAGGTAAGCGTTTAAACACCAATGAATCCTGAAGAAGGGAAGATGGGGAAAAGACGGGGAGGTACTCAGATTGAGGAGGTTGTGTACTATCTCTTACTATGGTTTTGCCACCTGAATAGGTCAGCTCCATTTTCTACAGATTAGAGCTGCACTGGGAGTTTTTCATTCATGGTAATTCAAGATTAAATTGAACAAACCACAGCACAGATCCAAAACAAGCTCTGCTGTTGCCATCCAGCAGGCCAGCAACTCAAAGAATAACAAGGAGAACGGTGCCACCCAGTACTACATGTCCCATTCTGGCAACATTCACACCCTGGCTCACTGGGTCAAGACAAGGCAAAAGACCTCCAACGTAATGCAGTTGTGCCAGCAGAGAAGAGCCCACGCACCTGATCCGCCCAGCTAAGAACATGGCCAGCAGGCAGGTGAAGAGCCCAAGGACAGCAACTGCAACCTGGTGGTTCTTCCCGTAAGCCCATGCTGCACTCAGGTTCTCCACCATCTGCTCTGGGAGCAGACGGAGCAGCTCCCGCCAGCGGGCCACCGCCATGGAAGTGTCGTTTTCCAAGTCTGCATGTGAGCTTGTGCCAGTCCTGTTTGGAGTGGATATGGGACCAGAGGAGACAGGAGCAGGGATTGCCGTGCTGGGTGAGAAGGGGTCGCCTGACCCGTACAAGGCCATCAGAACCAGGAATGCACAGCTGAGGAAGGCCAAGAACCGCAGAAGTATCACCTGAGCTGGTGTGGTTATGGAAGCAGAAGAGGTGGATGAACATAAATTCTGCAAAGAAAGGAAGAAACAGCTCATCAGAAGCTGAATGAACTCTGGTAAGGGTCTGAAATGGTGCTTTATGAAACACTTCCAGACTATAGGGTTTACCAGACAGTTTTGCTCAAGTCTTTTTAAGTCTCTGTACTGACACCACAAGGTATGTTGTAGACCAGCAAAGAGGAACAACAGAGCTATGAGCAGAAGCCAAGCTCAGGCAGAGCAGTCAGGGTAGGAGGTGGTCATAATTCACTTCCCATTGTTCTTACTTGTCTTGTAATCTATAGTTTCCTGCACTGTACTCACAGATTGGCTTTCCTACCTCCCCTTTTCTGCCTGTCCCACTATTCTCCTTCCAGTTCTCCTCACTACCCCCTAAATTCATCCATCTCTCCCATATGTACCTGACTATAGGTCTTGTCTGTCTCACGGCGTTTGAAGTGGTGGCTGAGCAGCAGCGCCCGGAGCTGCCGGTTCTGATGTTTGATGTAATACTCCACAGCAGCCTGGCACGGTCGGCACAGCTTGTAGGTCTGCTCCAGGTGGTGCTTGTAGACCTCAATCTCCTCATCGTATTTGTTCTGGTGAGAGAACAGGAGAGGAAAAGTAGGTGAGAACTGCAGGTCCCTTAATCACTATGCTTGCTACTGGCATGCGAGCAGGGAATGATTCCAGTTTCCAGTTCCAGAGGAAGTCCCCTGAAACCAGGCCTGAACAGTGACCAAGCTGCAAGCCAGCATAAAACCAACTCTGCATACAGCTCCATGTCCCAGAAGAGAAAACAGCCCTTGAAGAAGTCTGCTCTGACCCAGTTTCAGGATGCTGAATTTCTGTGGCCTGGGTTCAAGACCTTATGAACTCAAAACAGAAGGTGAGAGCAAATACTAGCATCGCTTCCCCTCCTCAAATGAGAGGATACAAAAGACACGTTGCCCCTTTACAGCACTGTGCTGGAGAAAGGACCAAGTGCCTTCCAAAACTCAGCCCCAGGCTCAAAGGCTGTCACTGTCCGAAGGCCTTGGTGAGATGAGCTGCATAAATCATTAACAGCACTTGTAAAAACAGTGAGTCGGGTCAAAGGTACATTTTTCAGTGTCACTATAGTGGACCCATCTCTTTATCACAGATGCTTGTAAGGCTTTCCCATCTCGACCCCAGCCTCTCTGAAGATCCTTGTACCAAAAGCATACAGCTGAAAGCATGCAGCTTCTTTGGGAGAGGGAAGTAACAAAGATGCATTGCAAAGGGCCTTTGGACTTGCTGCAGCAGCTTCACAGGCTCCATCTGCTGGAACCTTGCAGGAATCACAGGGGTGAGACCAGTAGCAGCAGACTTACCCCTTACTGGACAGGCCAGCAATGCTGAGGGGCCACTGCTGTCACCGACAAACCTATCTAACCACGCTGGACAACACAGTCCTATGTTTCTGAGCTGGCACAGACACTGCAGCTCACTGAATGACTAAAAAGGGGCCAACGGCTGGTGTTACCTGAGCAAGTGAATAGGTCTGGCATGGGGCAGGGACTAGAAATAAAGCTGAGAAAAGGCAATCAGCCAATGGTGTTCTCATCAGGCATGATCAAATTTGAATCTGTTCCCTGAGTCACGCTGATGAAACTCATTCCAATTACACAAAGCACACTGGATTAGGCAAGCCAGAGGATGAATGCATCCCACTATTGCACAGTCTTATAACCCCAAGGCTTTACCATAGTTGAAAGTGAAGGAGCGCAGCAGTGAATTCAGCGCATGAAACCCTGCGAGGCATGAAACTGTGAAGGATAAACCCCAGTATCCTCCACACATATTAAGTAGTGGGAAGGCCAAGAAGTTGCTCAGCAGGAAATCCTGCTGTGTAACTGTGAAATCCCTTTGACCTCCTAGGCACAAATGCCTAACCAGGGACACGACGTGGCTCCACAGGATTCCTCTCTCACTCCACTAGTAAAAGCAGAGCAGCACAGCCAAGGCCTCAGGAAAAATCTACTAAATCTATTAAGGCTTCAAAGTGATTAGCAGGCTGGTGTGCCTCCCAGATCCTGCAAGCTCAGCTAGGTAAGTACTGGAGGTGTAAGCTGATCTCAGCAATGTGAGGGTTCAGTTTTGGGCTCAAGCTTCAACTTCCTGCATCTATCTAGAACAGGTCATTACATTCTGGCTTTAGAGCAGGATTAGTAAGTCTGCAACACCAATCAGTAACCTCTGCACTGGAGTGCCACATAAGGCTTCTGAAGACTCCTGAAGCATCATTCCACAGCACACTGAAAAGTTCCTGTCTCTCCTGCTTACTAGGCTGAAGCATGGAATTAAACAGAGCAGGAATAGCAGATAAACGCATTGGAATGCCTTGGACACACATTCTCCTGTGCTACCAGCCCCTAAGGAACACTTACCTCTTCCCTTGGTGAGAATGAAGCCAGTTGTTTGATCTTTGTGGTTTGATGGTTGTTGCATTTCTTGCAAAGCAGAATTTGGCTGCTCACCCACTGCTGTGGTTTGGTAGGATCACAGAAAGTCATAGCACCTGACACAACATGGTTAAGGTGTTCCATGTACTGAGCAGGGATGGGCTTGTTGTAGTCTCCATTCTGGCAAAAAAGCAAAGGGGGAGGCAGGAGGGAAAGCAAACATGAGATCACAAAATCAAAGCTCGGTATCCTCTGGTTGATAACAAGAATACTTAAGCTCTGTCAGGAGCTTTACACTCCATGCATTCACCTCTGTAACAAAAGAAGTAAGTTAAAGAGACAAAATGCTTCAAATCTTCTCCCTCCTCCAGTGTTCTGTACGCTTACTGCAAGCAGCTGGTGGGGGTGGATTTTGGCTTAAGACCAGCTTTGTTATTTAATACCCTAAATACAGCAATTCAGCTGTTCTAACTGCAAACCCAGGGAATAATTGTTCCATGCATTAAAAGAAAAATTCTTCAGGCACTTTTTGCTCTTTGAAGCAAGACAGAAAAATTTGTCTCTCATTCTACATCAGCACATCCCAGTACAGAGGATTCCTCTGTAAATTTTATCAAGTGATCAGTTCACAAATGCTCTGCACAGATCTACCACTGTCAAAACCCTGGATATTCACCTGTACTGGGCCTGGATCACCTTAAATGAGGAACAGAGTTTTCTCTGCAAGGCCCATTCTACAGGGCATGCACCTTCCTAGCCATCCATCATTCAATCTGTCCCCATACCTCTTGGAACCCGTTGTACTGCTCACAGTTGGGGCAATCCCAGCAGTTGCGATTCCCATATGGCACTACCGTGTCCTGATTGCAGAACCAGCAGTTCACTGTCACGTGTGTGGGCTTCTTCCTGTTAGGAAAGGAAACATGTCAGGCACCAACACTGATTTCAGCTGATGTAAGGGAAAGTGATGGCTTTTAAACAGGGAAATGCAAGAGAGGCTGGAATAACAATCAATCTTCCCATTCAGCATGTTTGATGCTATGACTCAGAGTAGTCACTTAGCAATGAAAAGATGGGCTTTGAAAGTAGAAATCAATTCTGCCTGATGCTCATCTCTTTGTGCCAGCACCATAGACATGCCAGACCTTTAACAACCTTGTGAATAACCCACTTCACTGTTTTCCAGAGGCATATTTGGGGGTGCAAGACCTCTCCATAATCAGCACTGTTCATATATGCAAAGGGTGCAGTAGAGTTGCTGCTTAATACACAGGATTCTGGGAAGTGGAAGTTAGGATCCACAAGAACTGTGTATGATGCAGAAACCTAGGAAATGGGCTCATGGTTACAGTTCTATCCATCCTGCCTGTTACAAATAAGGATGCCAAATTATCTTAAGATTCAGGCACTGTAAATAGCTGTTTCTTCAGCTCTTTAGATATACAAGGAATTGAGTAATCAACACATCTAACCCAGTTTTTATGCACTGGAAGAAATGAAAATCTAATGGCCTGGATCCATAAGTAAGCCCCTTGTTTCTGAAAAGAATCCTGTTAAAAACAGTCACAAGAGAACCAGCTGTGACTTGGCCCCATTGCAACAGATGTTTGAGCACAGAACTTCAGTAGCCTGACCCTTGAGCTCACCTGCTAAAGGAGGTCTGAACTGTCTTGAAACTCAGTGCAACATCACAGAGGAAGCTTCCTGGCAGGTTAAGGCAACACAGCCCAGTTGTCTGGGTTTATCAGAGCAAACCCAATCAACAACTCCAGCTGCTCAGGCAAAGCCCAGGCAGGGATTTGCTATGGTGGCTATGCAGACAGATGGACCCAGCTGCTACCACCCTTTGCTGCCCAACTTCACCAAGCTTCTGAAGTGGCAGGGAAAGCAAAGAGTAGGCTCACCGAGGGCCTGGAAAGCAAGTCACAGTAGCCAAAGTGCTTCCTGCTCTAGGAAATGTGCTCTGCTGCTATACTGTTCTCTAGAGAAACATCTCGATGCTGCAGAAATCCTGTCAGCACCCTGCAACTAAATGGGCACATGGGTCTCCCCTTAACTTAAGCTGGTTTCTCTCTCAGCCACCACCTCTGTAGCTGGATGCCTACAACCCCACTCCCATTTCCATAGACCATGTCTTGAAACCTGGTTCATAAACCACCAAACCCTCAGGTGATGCTTAGGCCTCCTGTTTCAGTACTAGGGATGAGGATAAGCTTGAACTGAAACCTAAGAAGCCAGAGTGCAGGGTGGATTCCCTGCCAGATGCTGAGAGAAAATGGCTGGAGCTACTAGGGTGACAGATTCTCATCTCAAAATAGATGCACACACCCACATCCCCTCTTAAAATGAATATTCACTGCTCAACTTTCTTCATTGCCAAGAGGGCTCAAACCAGTAAGTGATCCGAGTTAAAAATACCAGTACTGAAGCTGACAGGCAAAGAAAGAGGAAGTTTAAAGCAGACAAATCAAGGCTGCTAGTCCAAGTTATCCAGGAGCTACTCCTGTCCACAGCCGTATGAAACACGGACACCTGTAATACCTGTTGGTATTGCTTTTATCTCACTATCATAGGTGTGAAAGCTATGAAAATACAATACAGGTTTCAGTATGTTGACCACCAAAGTACAAACCCTACTGCACTGTGAGCACAGACGGTGATAGCAAACACAACCTAAACTCCATCCTCTGGTGTAGGTTATTGCACAGGTCCTTGAAGGTGTCACCTTCATGTGACACCATCCTCTGGTGCCCATGGAAATAAGACTGACAATACTTCAGTCCCTACCTACCACGAGACTCTGACTTCCATGTAGAGTATGTAGAAGCACTGATTTCAAGGGTAACACCGAAGAGGAAAGCACACACCAAAAAACATAGCAAAGCATGCATGCTGTAAAGCAAAGAAAGAACCAATGTCAGACACAGTCTGAGAACTTGCTAATATCAGACCCCAAAGCCTTGGTATACTTGAGACCTTTCCATCTTTTCCAAAGAGGATTCCATTTCTCTCCTGCTGCTGATGAAGTGCTACCGAGGGTTAAACAGCAGTCCTTCATTCTCACAATGTATGCAAAAGAAACTGCTAAATCCTGGATTATTTAGGATAAAAAGCAATAAGCCTTTCCTTTTGTGAACTTATAATCTGTTGCCATAGAAATAGATGCAAAAAAATCAGAAGTTCCCAACCTGTTGTGTGCATCAAGATGGGAAAAAACCAACAAAGGTCATTTCAGGCAAGAACATGTAGGTAGGGTGCTAATTTTACAGTAACTGGGCATGACTTTAAAAACAAAAACCAAGTTGGAAAGACTCTCAAACACAGATTTAATGACTATGGAACTGTATATACCTTGACTGAATTCGGGCAGCGGTTGAACATGGTAAGTTAGAGCACACACTGCTGCTGAAGTCAGATAGACAATGCAAAACTAAGCATTTACCCCTGCAAACCACGAGGCAAACCATCCCAAAGGAGTTTAACAGTGTATAAACCTGAACCAGCCTCCCTGGGCAAAGAACCACCCCTCAAAACAAAACCTGAGCAACAAGAAGTGATTGAATTCCCATGTAGAAAGATTCCACTAAGGGCTGACTTGCTGCACTAGCTCAGGACGTGGCCTGCACACCCAAAGATGTGAGAAAACATTCCCAAGTTTGGGAACACTGTTTTGCAGGTAGATCTTTGCTCAAGACAACACTGGAGGGAAATACCTGGAGTGAATTGAGTTACGAGATCAATACTTAAATGTCTGATATAAAACACTCCTTTGTGAGAGACTATCAGACTCCTTTAGCTTGGTAACAAAAATCAGGCTGCAGGTACAGCCATTGACAAACACTGGTTAGCAACTAGTCTGTGCCTCTCTTGGAAGGAAGGTAAGTTCCTTCTTACATTACAACTCCCAACACTCTCCACTATTGCCACTTACACATGCCTTTAAGGTCATGCTTAAGTCCACACTTTTAATGGATTGCCAGAACAACACTCTCCCTGGTAAGTGCAAGTCTATTATTATTATTATTTATTATTAATCTGGATCACCAAATAGTTTTATTTACATCTATTTCCCCCCTTATTCTGATTCTCTTAATCATTAGATTAAGATGTTTGGGTTTCCATATTCTCAAGTGGATGTGCAGCTCTTCACTGGGTTACCCTCATCCTCTGCCAAGGATCAAAAGAAAAAACAATTCTCCACTAAAAGCATCTAGAGCAACACACAACTGCATTAAAAGCAATTATCCAAACAGCTATGCCAGCAAATCTGAAGTAAAAAAACCCACACTAGGAAAAGAAGCTCTTTTGCACAGATCAGTTTTGATCAGAACATCATCTGATGGTGGTTTCACATAACCAAGGTACAGACCCAGCCCGTGGCACAGTACTGTCAGCATGGCTGAGTTAAGAAGCTCATACACAGGGAAGCTCCTGGGACGCAGCTCCCTGAGCTGCTGTAATTCGAGGTTGTGCCCATATCCATCACCTGTCAATAAAGGGGTTTGCCAGCAGAGCCCCGATGCTAAACCCCATTTTCCAACAGGAGAAAAACACGCCACAGCTGTCCAGATACCAGCAGGCAAAGGGTATCAGAGATGCGTTAGCTCAGAACTAGCAGTTGCGGACAGGGTTGAAGATTCAACCACAGGACCAGATTCCCAGCAAGTATTTAACAGGTTATAATGCAGCCCAAGAAGCAGACTTTGTGTCTTCTAACAGGGAAAAAGGTGCCCAGTGGACTGAAGCAGGGACACAGACCCACAGTCATAAGCACCTCCTGTGCTGTCTCTCCCAAAAACTGTCTTCATGAAACTGCAGCTTTAGCATCTTTTAATATCTGGAGAATACAGTCCATCGAGACAGGATCCTCCAGAAAGGTGCCTCTTTTTGCTGTCTCTGCATCCATGAGAGGCTCTCAACTAAATGAACAGCTCCTACTGGCCTCTTAGTGTGAGAGATGGCTTATCCTGATTTGTAGAAGGAGCATCTTTTGGCATCACTGACCCAAAGAGCCCTAAGAATGAGATGCTCTTGGGTTACTCTATACTGGTTCTGACAGGTCAGTAGCTAAGAATCAGAAGGGGCACAAAAGATGAAGGAAAGGTGGCTACAGCTGCTAGTCTGAACTCAGCAACCTGACTCCCAACTATAGATAACAAGTAATCAAGCTGTGATCTTGAAGACAAATCACAAAACACATCTATTTTCCTATCTGGTCCAAACTCATGGGGTTTAAGGAGCTCCCATGCACACCTGGACATCAAATCTTGATTTCCCTGATACAAAAGCACAGTCTCGGGTGCAGGCAGTTACTGAAGTGTAACTTCACACATTGACAGTTATCCCAGAACCACTTCTCTCTAGGCTGCTCTGATATATTTTGTTCCCCCTTCTCCAGGGGGTGGCAAAGGCATCTTGCTAGATCTGTAAGTGCACTCATGCTGAAAATGGGGCAGATGGAAGGTTCATTTAAGTGAGGCAAAGTAAGAAATCAGGTAATATCAGAACACTGAGAAACACAAATATGCAGCCCCAAAGAATTATCAAGGTCATCTCCTGAAAACATTTGCAGCTCACTAGCAGCCTTCAAGGACTTAGGAAGAAATGCTTTCCATTCCAGAGACCTTTTGATGAACCTAAGCAAAACAAATCCAATCTCTTCCCTCAAAAGGCATCTTAGCCTCATCTGGGTCAAAGAAACACTGCCTGCTTCACTGAGGATTGCTTTAGGCCACTAGTATTTCCTAGCTGCCCTAAATATGCCATAGAAATGCCAAGTTGGGCTAATGCAGCACTGACCATTTAGATGCTTACACGAACAGCGAATGCTTTACAGCAAGCCTTAAGTATTTTATTGTGGATGTAGAAACACGCCTCTACCTCAGCGTGTAAACTTGAAGTGAACCTTAACGCAATGAGCCCTTGGGACTGCCTTTTTCCTCTACATCATGAAATGAACTGATTGCTCAGGTCTGTTGTTATAAAGGCTGCAGTGCCTCCGATTCCATATATTCCTAAAACACCTTTCAAGCTATGCTGGATTAAAGCCGTTCAAATTAAGCTTTACTCCTTTAACGAAATCTGTATGCTGACTCCTCTCCTAATGCTCCTCAAACCTCAAGTCTCAATTGGTCTGATTAAATTTGTTCTAAGGTCGGAAACTTGCTGTGCAACTAACAAATAACCCAAGGTCTCTGGTCACTGATAACTGACTCCTGTCATCTCCGGCTCTATCATCTTCCCGAGTTTTGCCGCTGAACCGCAGTAACTGTCACCTCTACGGCCCTCTCCCACTGTCCCTACCGCACTCACGCTTTCACCTCCACACCAAGCACCAAAGCGTTCTCCTTTCCTGCCTCCAACACGCCGGAAAACCAGAGGCAAACCCGCACACCGCGGACGGCGAGGGGAAGCGCTCCGGAGAACGACCAGCCCTTCGTGCCCAGCTCCGGCACACAAAGGCCCGCAGCCATCCCAAGGGGACACGTTAAAACGCGCCCAGCCGTTCCCCTACGCGTTTCTGTTGCCGCGGGAGGGTCGCTCCCCGAACACGCGGCTCAGCAGCCCCGCGCACGGGCACAGGGGCAAACCCGCGCGGAGCCTCCCCGCCGGCGCGGCCCGCATCCGCCCGGCCATCGCCCGCCTCCCGCCCTTCGCGGCCCTACCTCCGCGCCATGCGGTACAGCAGCAGCCCGGCGGCGGCGGCGCAGACGGTGACGCCCAGCCCGGTGGCGGGGCCGCGGGCCAGCAGCGCCCCGGCTCCCTCCATGCCGCTCCCCCCCGCACACACACACACACGGGGGCCACCGCTGTGACCTCGACGGCGGCGGCGCCGCTTTGTACGCGGCGAGGCCGGCCCGCTCCGCCCCTCCGGTGGTGCCGCGGCGGGGGCGGGCGCCGTGAGTCACGGCGAAGGACGGGAGGGGCCGCGGCGTGAAAGGCCGGAGTCGTGCGGCGGCGCCGTGAGTCAGCGCCGCAAAGGCCGAGATCGTGGCCGCGGGGGCGGGCGGCGGGCCCGGAGCCGTTCCGGGGGGCGGTGAGGGGGGAGCCCCGGCGTGCCTGGCCCCGCTCCCCGCGTGCTGCTATATTTAGACGTGATGCGTGACCGGAGCGGCTCCAGCGCCTCCGGGTGCCGGCCCTGCCGGGGACGGAGCCAAGAACCCAGGCCAGGGGCGGCTGCAGCGGCCGGACTGGGGCTGGCACAGGCCTAAGCCTGGGGAAAGGGGGTTAAACCCACAGCCGCACCGAGGGGATTTCCCCCCCCCCCCCCCCCCCCCTTGCACAAATGAAACCAAAAACAACGGGGTCTGCAGCAAGGTAATTGAACCTAACTTAGGTTATATGTAACCACACCATCACCAAAGGATAGCTGGGCAGAGAACTGTGGAAACAGAACGGGCAGAGGAAGACGAGGCACTTCCAAGAGAAGAGCTGCTCTGGCAGGAGCTGCTTGGGGAGAATGGCCAATCCCTCCAGTTACACCACTGTACCCTCCCCACTGATTTATAAAGCACCCTTGTGTAGTCCCTGATCAAATTACCCAGTAAATCACTGCAATAACAGCTCACATTAGCCAGGGGACAGTATGGCAAGAGGAGCTGGAACTAAAGCACAGGGCTCTGTGGGCAGGCTGTTACCTGTGAGCCAGAAGCTGGAGCCTGCAGCTCTGCACTGTCCCTCTCTAGATAAACACAGCTCTGCAGGAAGCCCTCAGGTCTCTGTGGAGAGTAGTTCCCAGGTCAGACTGTTCAGAAGGTCTCTGGAAAGCAAAGTAACACCCATGCATGCTCTGCCCCTCTCAGCACGCAGGGGTGGGATTTACTGGTTCTGCAGAACTGCACGCAGTTGGTGGTTTGACAGCCATGCCCTGGGAAGGTAAAAGGTAAAACCCCGCCAAAATACGTGACTGACCCTGCCTCCAATTGCACGGCTCTTTTCCTGGTTAAAACCAGCAGTTTCTCAGCATAATAGCCAAAACTGCTTAAAATTCAGGAGAACCAAGTTGTGCCATCATCACGTTTTTAAAAAGCCACAAATGGAAAAGCTCTTCATGGACAAATACTTGGACTGAAAGTGAGCTGTACATCTAAGTTTGTCTTAACTGTGGTTGGGGTCTTAACAGTTCCATTTCTCTCTCAACAGATTTAACCATGGAAATGAATTCTGTGTAATAACAGTGACTATTTCCTCTTGATAAATGCAAGCGGACAGATTTTGTCGATCTCTCTTCCATTGCTTAACTTGATTATTTAGGGATTGTTTTATGAGACTAAAAGATATGGAAAGGAGGAAGAACAACTCATTTAGCCCTTCTGCAAGTCCTCTGAGACCTGCTGTACTTGTGAGCTTGTCTGTTTTTCCTACAGAAGTCCCTCCTTCCTATCTGTAGTATCAGTCTATCCACAGATGCATTGTTTACTAGAAGTTTCCTCCTTAAAGGAGCTAATGAGGAACTTGAGCAAAACAGCTATAAATCATGGTGAGGGGCACAATCACAATGCAAGTGTGTATGACAACCATCAGTAAATGCAAATAATGTTGAGAGAAATCAAGGGAACCAGGGATACCTAAAGGGAGGCTGTAAATCTTGTAGTGACAAGATATAGACCTGAGCCATCTTTAAATGCCCATGAAATACAGCTTCCAAAGCTAAACTAACCAACATGAGTAGCTCATACTATTGCAGCAACAGTGTGTTGGTAATTTCAATTTAACTGTTAAATTATGAATGGGAATAGACTCAGTCCTGACAGTGGAAACTTTGGGGTCACTTCAGATACAACCATAGTTTCATCACCTTACTGATAATGAAGCTACAACGGGTCTAGTAATGAACCCTAAATCTGGAGAGAAACAGCCCAGGAAATGCTAACGTGTAACAAATGGTTACCTACCTTCCATGAAACTGGCCTGCTGTGGGAGTTGGAGTGGAATGAACAGGGGAAAAAGCTTTTGGTTTCTCTTTCGCGACCAGAGAAAGGTTGGTTATTTTTAAATCCAGCTATCCCTTTGGAAAAAAAACCAACTTCAAATTCTTCCCTCTGGTAATAGGCTTAATTCCATGCTCAGTGACATCAATGGGATTGCTCACAGAGCATCACCTAAAAATGTTAACTCTTTATGGAGTTACGGAAGCAAGGGTTAGTGAACTCTTAAACATCTCAGAGGAAGGAAGGAACGAGGATTCAATTATACTCATTCAGAAATTAGCTCCCAATAGAGCTTATTAACCTCCAGTCAAATTAAGACTGTCAGGGCTGGTAGCAAAGCTTAAAGAAGAAAACAAAAAACCCAGCAGAATTCCTGATTTTCCATCACATTGAAGCAGAACAGAAATTTGTTCGCTTTCTCTTTTGATTCCTCTCTTCCCAAGTCCCAAACTCCCCAGAATGGTTTGAGTTCCCTCCCCTCATTCTCAAAAGAGATCAGCAGCCTACACATTTGACAGAGGTTTTAGGAGTGAGCTCCTGTATGGTAACTACAGAGGAATGCTAATTTAAGAAAGCAAATCTCAGAAAATGTTTCAAAGTAGCAACACAAGTGCCCCAGTTCTCAAAAATAGAAGCAGCTCTGTAGGACAGTTTTGCCTCCTCCAAAGATACAGCTTCTGCTGCTCACCGTCGCCAGAAAAAAAAGCCATGCCAGTTTTTAGTTACTCAACTGTTTCCTATTTTAGCTCAGGGGTAATGTGATATGTTCTTTTCAGTAAGACATAATAGAAATCGGTTATTTTTGCAGTTTTGCCTCATAATGAGGTATACAGGCATTGTACCCTGTTTGGTCTGTGCTCTTCCAGCACACTGATGTCAAATGTGACCTCAAGTACCAGTCATCAGCTAGGTCCGAAACAGAAGAGTCGTGAGGGTTTGAATCCAATTACGGAACCCATTATATTCCTGCAACAAAATACTAGCCTGAAAACTTGATCTTATAAAAGACTCACTACCAGGCTGTCTCTTATTGGGTTGCATGGTCCTTCCAAGTCCAAAGTCTGCTGGATGTGGTCCTTGAAGTCAAAGATGTCTGTAAACTCTGGTTTATGCTCAAGAACTCAACACCTGCTCAGATCATGAGAAGCTCATTGTTCAGTTGAACAGGAGGGAAGGCTGAAGCTGGGCTCAAATGCTGCAGTGTTTGTCTCAGCTGCCAAAGCAAATGACAGTAATGAACAGGGGAGCATAGTATGGTCAAAGCAAAACACAAATCTACATCTGAGTTCTCAGACAGTTTGTCCTGCACTTTCAGTAGTTATTCATATACAATACTTTAATCACAAGGTACTCCTGCAATACGAGTGGTAAAGAGAGTACTGGAGTTAAAAGCATACTCCAATATTTATGAAATGACTATGCAGGATATTTGATTTATAACTGATAGTTAGGACTGCACCATGAGTACTGTTGAAGAATACCCCTTGGATATGGTGTCTTTGAAGGGGAAGGCAGATATCTTATCTATATGAAACATGAGAACTGTGAACAAGATGGACTGAGCTGGCAAATCCTTGTTTCCTTCACTAAGTAAATCAAGTAATGACATAAAGAAACTGTTCACATGTGGATTTTTTTGGTGTTAACTCCAGTGACCTGTCCATGAGATAACACAGCATCTCGTGCCCATCAGAAGCACTGCTCTACAAAGACACCAGATCAAGAGGGACATATTTATCGTACTGTAAAGCAGAATCCAGAACTGCATTTATAATGTAGAGTATTTGGGACCTAACTTACCCTCTCTTCCAATCTCCAGAGCCCTAGTATTTAAATATAAGGAAAATGTCACACAAAAAAGCCCCATAGTACTAAAAAGCTGAGGTCAGGGTACAGGACCAAGTTACTGAATCTCATGGACTTGCCTTCCGCAGGGCAGCCAGGCCACAGCCACGGACTGTCCTTACACAAAGCAAGGTCTGCAAGCCAAGTCATGACAGATCCATTCCCACACACTAACATAAGCATGTATCCCAAATGCAGTGGTGCACACAGCACTGTAATTTCTTTTTTGCTAGAAGCCTCCCACAATCATATTCCAGCAGTATTGCTAGTACACATGGTTTTCCTAAGACATTCTGGTGTGCATACCTCACACCCTCAAAGCAGATAAACATACTATGAATGTCCTGCTTGAACACTCCAGGATGCTCACACAGCAACAAATGATGCACCTTGAATATCCCAGAAGAACTCTCAAACTTGTTTGGGCATTAGGCTATTACAGTGCTAAAGTGACATGACTCCAGTGGGAAGACAACAGAGTTGCACATTTCCAAACCAGTTCTTCTCCTGTTTTAACACAGTTTTAATGAACCAAGAGATCACTTGATGAGGTACATTCCTTGACCACATATGGCTGTGCTTAAGGAAAAAGACAAACATATACTTAAATTAAATAGTGTAATTTAATTTAGTAACAGTTTAACTATCATTAAGTTAAAAAAAGTTATAATTAACTGTTAACATTAATGACTCAAGACCTTTCAGAAGGCATGAATCCAAAAGGAAGTATCCAGCAGGTGGTCACAGACTTGCTCTTCCACCAGCACTGCCACCTGCATCAGTCTCTATTTGTTCAATGAAGAAATTGGTCTACAGTCTGTAATAGCAGTCTTGGCTCTGCTACTTTGCACTGTCTTCTAACAGATACACAATTAACTCATAGGTGGACAACACAATGGCTGTGTTTGGTATCTGCCGGATGAGCTGGGCAAACAGTCCTCTATAGAAGGCAGAATAGCCTTCTTCACGTGCTACCAGACGTGCTGTCTGAATGAAGGTCTTGTACTTAGTGCCTTCTTCTCGCAGCCGTGTCCGTATGACCTCTGCAGGAAAAGTAAAACAGAGCCCAAAGTTAACAAGACTTCAACCTTCCCACTGAGAAACATCCCATCACCACGAAAGCATATGCAAAACCCAGGGACATGAAAACCTCCCTGTACCAACTGCCTGCCAGTACTTTCAGCCATGGAATCCTGTACGCATTTGGAAGAAGCAAAGTTAAAGATGGGTTCCCTTTCATGTGGAGTAAACAGATTATTTTATTTGCTCATTCAAGCTACTACTAAACTAAATGCTTCACTGATACTTATCATCAATATTGCTCTTTCTAGGTAACCATGATTACATTCACATCTATCCAAAAAGAACAGCACTGCTCAGCCCACAAGTGTTTCTCACCACTTGATCACAGAATCACAGAGGCTGTGAGTACTCAGCTAGATGAGTACTGCTACGAGTGAGAACAGAAGCATCAGGCATTCAGTTTCTTTTTGGCATTTTTTGGTGCTGCTTTTAAAACAGGAATTCCCAACCACCACCTAATGGTGGGCCCAGTGCTGAACATGCCAATGTATATGCACACGCCACTGTAACATGCATTTGGCCATTCAAACGACTAAGAATTTTACAGCCCTAAGACCCATCATTTGTCTTGGATTACAGGCAACAGCTGCTCTACTGGATTCATAAATGGAAAAGTTAACATACCATGTGGATAAGCAATACAAGAAGCACAGCCCTTGGAAACAGCAGCAGCAAACATCAGTCCAAAGAAGTTGGTTGAGTTCCTTTCGGTCCCGTTAGGAGGAGAAGGGGGCAGTTGCACTTCCTTTAAGTGCTTTTTTAAACTTTCATAAATAGCAAAGCAGATAATGGTCTCAGAAATCCCAGCATAGGAAGCAGTCAGGCCCCTATAAAAGCCACGGACACCTTCTGTCTGGTAAACATATCTAGCACACTGCAAAGCATTCATTGGTTTTGAACCCCTGACTCTAAAAAACAAAACAGAACAAAGCATATCATGAGCCCAGGAAAGGAATTAATGTTATAGTTAAAAGCCCATAGCTTTTAATAGGTTTTATAACTATAGAAACGCTTCTCTACTAAGTTTGACTCCAAAAATCTTCTAGGAAAGCTGCACAGAGCAGGACTATCATGTTAACAGTGCACACTTCGCTCTGCTTATTCACCAGTACATGTAAT